CGAAATAATCATTCGATGGCCAGAGAATTGTCTCGCGAGGCCCATGACTACTCTTTCATGTGTTTCCGTCTTTCGTCAATAAATTCTGTTAGTTATCTCTTTTTTCCTTTATCGCTTCCCCTGGGAATGGATAGCGACTAGGATTGAGGAATCGGAGAGCCGAGTTCGATTCCAGTCGAAACCATTACATTCACTTACGCGCTAATACCTTCAAATAATCGAGGAAGTAACGTAGATATGAAATGAAATACATACACCAAAGATCACGCTTACGAAGAGCTAGCAGTTAGTAAACAAATGCCAGTCGCCATACAATGACTATTTCTAAGATGACAACAACATAACATTCATACAAATAATGACTTTTTAGGTAACATTTTCAAGAAAAAACCAATACACACAACACACACACATACATACATATATAAAATATAAAATAAAAGATGAAATCTTTAAATCCTCTTATTCTCCCCCCAGCTATGGGTAAATAGCAGGACAGACCGGGTTCTGTAGCATTGGATAGCAACTGGTCTACCGCAGAAAGGAATGGCAACCTACCGCAAGAAAAAATCTGCCTCGTCAGTCATGTATCGAAAGATACATGATCACCTAAGCGTGTATCACGCATGGCATATAACTGACTGACTGACTCCTCCCAGGACTGCAGTATATTAGACATGATAGCTGACAGTATAGAAAAGGCATTTTCTCTCTATCCATCTGCGAACATCTTTGTCTTCGGTGACTTTAATGCTCACCATGACATTCGGCTGAAACATTCTTAGGGTACCGATGTTGCCGATATTCGGACATTCAATTTTTCCATTGTCCAATTCCTTGCTCAAATCGTGAACTTCCCTACTCGTTTCCCTAGCAAAACCAAAAAACAGGCTTCTCGATTTATATCTCTTCTCCTTGCTCTTGCCTCTTGTTATCTCGGATCATTGTGTGGTATCCATTCATATTTCGTTCCAGTCATCCATTAAACAGGAACACTTCTATCCATAAAACCTCTTTCCGTTACCAGCATGCTGACTGGGACTCGCTCCATGATTTTCTTCGTGACGTCCTTTGGGCTGACAACTTACATTGTAACAAACCACCCACATTCCCTCCATATGCCATCGGTGAGAAGTAAGTTCCATTCTAAAAGCTTCTTTCCACGACCCACTCCTCTGTGGAACCGACACCCAAAAGGATGTTTCCCCGATCACTGCAATCATAACCTGTTCAAGGCTAAGGTTAACCGTTATCTTCCACTCTTATCCGTACAAACTGCTTCGTAACATAACCCTCTACCTCAAGAAAAAGAGTGAACCTTACTATTAAAAAAATGGCTTACTAAATTCTCAAAACACTGGTCGCTGCTGAAATATTAGAATTGGTTTAGTTTGGATAGCTGAAAAATGTTCGGATTATTAAAAGTTTTCTTTTCATTTCCACATCCATATGAACAGATTCTAAAAAATCGAAGTTCGAATAATCGAGGATGTAATGTAGATATGAAATGAAATACATACGCCAAAGATCACGCTTACGAAGAGTTAGCAGTTAGTAAGCAAATGCCAGTCGCCATACAATGACTATTTCTAAGATGACAGCAACATAACACGCATACAAATAATGACTTTTTAGGTAACATTTTCAATAAAAAAAACAACACACACATACACACATATATACAGTAACGGCCATAATATAAGGAACGGAAACAACAAAGACATAAATATGTGTATTACTTAAAAAGTAACTTTGTATAATATTTATGCATTACACCCTAATCTTTATTCGGTAAAAATTTCATTGCTAATCATGCATTACTTTTTAAGTAATACACATATTTATGTCTTTGTTGTTTCCGTTCCTTATATTTTGGCCGCTACTGTATATATTGTGTATACTTAGGCAGCAATTTTTCATTGATGCATGTTTCATTAAATAATATAGACTAGTTTTGTCTATCTATTTTAAGTAAGTTCCTTTCATATTGTCTGATAAGCTTAATAACTATCATTGAAGGACGAAAGAAAATCACCATATTGATACATGTTTAAATCCAATGTAAGCTTTCGGCTTACATAAGCCATTATCAAAGATGACAATTAATTTTTAATATATCAACCAATACACGGAACACTAATGATAGTCTGTTCTTGGTTGCATGAAAAATTTCAAAGTAACGACTAACTCGTGTATACGAGACGCATATCAATATGGTGATTTCCTTTCGTCCTTCAATGATAATGTTATTAAGCTTATCAGACAATATGAAACTTACTTAAAATAAACAGACAAAACTTGTCTATATTATTTAATGCAACATGCATGAATATATATATATATATATATATATATATATATAAATCAAGAAAAAACCTTAAAGATTTGTTGCATTCAGAACGAAATGGATATTTAAGGTTTTTCTTGATTTATTATAATTATAATGCTCTGTAATTTACATTGAGTTCTTTTTTAATTACTATCCTCCTTGGAATTATCCCTACCAGTCACAAATTGGTATTATATATATATATATATATATGTGTGTGTTTGTGTGTGTGTGTGTGTGTGTAAATATAAAAGTGAACATTGAAGCTAAGACTCAGCGGTGACAGTCTATTTTAGGCTTAAATGCTTAGGCCTGACGATTGCGTTTAAGCATGAAACAGACATGAAAATGTCTACTTTTATAGATAGATAGATACATCTAGGTACCCTAACGGCAAGTTCATCAGAATAATTACCATGAAAATATTTATAAAATGTACAAGAAAGCTACATTACGGTAGTGGGTAAGTGACTGAGGCTGAGATGCTAGGTCAGTACCAATAGCATTGCAGATTCTTCCTTTGTATTTTATCAAAAACTCTGAATATATAATAAATGACCGGACACACGTTTACATGAAATGTGGCACACTTGTGATATCAACAAATGGACACGCATATATTTATCAATAATGTTTATTAAAAAAAAACAAAAAAAAAAAACTATAAGTTGTTTTTAACACATTGTATCCGACAGAGATGCTGAAATCTCGTTTACAAACGAGTTTATTTTTTATCAGATAATTTGTTCTACTTGAGACCATACCGTTAACATACACGAGATTACGGCTCGTAATTCCTACAACTTGTAAAACTATGAGAAAAAAAAAAAAGAAAAAAAAGGTAAGACTAAGAGATTTCTAAAAGTAGTTATCTCCCCCTAAAGTTATACCGGATTTTAAAATAAGCTTAAAAAAAAAAATTCTTGAAGCATTATTATTTGTTTTAATTCAAAGATAGAATAATTTTAATATTCCCAAACTAAGATTAGATTGATTGATTTCTGCTCTTTTTTTTGTTTTTCATTATCAGTAAAATATATAAATAATTTTCACATTTAAAATCTTTTTTCTCTTAATAATGACACTAAGATTATGACGATAAAATTATAAATTTATTATATTTTAGGCATTTTTTTCATCATATAAAATTCTTCATTTCTTTTTTGCGAATTTTTGTAGATTTTTATCTAAAAACTAACGGATCCAGTATAGTGTGAGAAATTCCGGAGAACATATCGTCGGAAATGACGTGTTAAAGCCGACAAAGATGAAGATAATGACTGGAAAATTATGTGGATTATGGAAAAGAATTCATCTTGCCCTGAGAAAAAAAAAAATGTTTTTCTCAGCGGTTTTCGATAAACACTGTTGAGATCATTCGGACATAAAGTATCGAGTCAAAATAAAACAAGAGGCTAACCAAATGGCTACAGAATTCCCCAAATCGATCTTTGTTCAACAGTATAAACCCAGGCTAAAGACAAAGAACTGCGAATACAGAGATCAATGTTAATTTTTAAAAAAATCACCCGGTACAAGGCTCGAGAGTCACTCAAGGCAGAGGGTTACTGAATGAGGTATATGATATGATGGTAAAAGAATGTAAAAACAAGTTAAGATTATGAAGATAAGAAGAATAGATAACGATTGACCCTTGGCTGGAAGAGGTTAAGGTTATAGTGTTCAGGGAAGCATACGTGCGGGAGTTTCTTCCACAAAGTTGTAGTTCTCGAGAAAAAAAGCTGTCTGAATGGAAAATCGTTCTTATACTTGGAATACGGGGGAAATGTGAGTGATTTGACCCTGTGGACGTAGTATAAAGATTTGAACTGGTGAGCCTAAAGAATGGATTGTATTACCACTGGTGCTTTTTGCTTCATTATAATTGTTATTATTGAGAGAAAAAATCACGTCAAGAAATTGACGCTGGGATAAGCTTCCTGGGTATGACGATAAACTACATCCGGCAGCAAAGCCTCTGATCGGGAAGTTTTGAGGAGCGTGGAATCACCACCTCTTAATTGCTGTTGTTCCCATGTTCACCATGACCTGGGGTGGTAGCACCTGTTAAGGTCCAAGCTATGGGGAAATAGTTAATCCTAAAACTGGGGTCAAAACACTATGAAAGTATAAAAATATATTTTATAGTAAAAATTACCAGAAATACATTTTCATAGGAAAAAAATTACGAATAATACATTTTTGTAAAAAAAGAAGCTTCCAGCAATACATTTTTGTAAAAAAAGAAAATATTACCAACAATACACTTTTGTTAAAATAAATTACATTTCTATAAAAGAAAATAATAATTCTCATAGAAAAATTAAATTTCGGCACTAAATAGCCAGTAAGGAGTTGATATGCGGCTAAAACAAACAAATTTCGGTATTAAATGATCCACTGGGTTGATATACCGTAAAATAAACCAAATCAAACGCTGGGATAAAATATACGAAGCCTACCATGACATCCTGTCAGATTAATAGATAATAAAGCAAAGAAAGCTGTGGAGAGTCATAGACGCCTACGTCCTGGGAGAACAAGGCATTTAAGAAGAGCCTAGTTCCTAAGCAAGATTAATTAACTTAAATCAGACAAAGATATTGTAAAATAAAATGATGTTTTAAGAAGGAAAAAGTTCTAACCTGGTAATTTTTGGTCTCTAAGGCTCATGGTCATATCACGTTGAAACACCTATTCTCGTACGTTCACCGAAGTTAAACAACGTCAAACATGGTCAGTACTTACATGGGTGACCGCTTGGAAATACCAGGTGCTGTATGCTTGAATGTAGCGGATGGTGTAATGGATAACGATTCAGAATTGTTAATCAGAGAGCCGAGTTCTAATTCCATTCCAGTCTGTTATATATTTGTTATTGTACTTACGCGCAAAGAGAAGTAAATTTTGTTTATTAAATAATTTGAGTTCCAGGAACGTATCCAAACCAAAGTAGTATCCTTCCTTCGGGAAGTGGTGAGGGGGATTCTGCTGTGGTAAATTTTTGAATTTTTGTTTCCGGAATCTATTATTAAGACTCGACCTTTGTCACATTTTGTACGACGTGGGCTTACATATAAATACATCCTTGTATATTTCCATTCTTTGGAAAATCACGTAGCTTACATTCCAAATTTTCTTTTCAGACAATTTAATTTCTTCTTTGTCTCTGTGAAGGTGGAATGTTAATGACTCTTCTGAAAATACAATTGGATTCAATTTCATATCCTTCGTCATTTTGACGTCATAGGTAAACTACTACGACGAATAATGATAATTATAATAATAATAATAATAATAATAATAATAATAATAATAACTAGAAATTATGAAGCACACATACTAAAATATTGTGTTAACCCAAAATGCTGATTCTCTGATAAATATCCAGAAACAATTGATCCTCTTGTATCAAGTTGCACGGTATTGGCACCAACTAAATATAAAACACGGCATGGCAGATTGGGCCAGTATCTGCACTGGAAAATCTACAACTTTACAGAAAGGAAACTGAAAAAATGGATCACCAGCCAGATCCGATTAAGGAGATGGGACCTGTAACAATTTTATGGGTCTACACAATACACAGAGACAGAACAAACAAAACTAACCGCCCTGACATTGTTATTAAAGACCGCAAACAAAATTAAAATCGCCTCCTTATTCATATGGTAGTGCCTACAGACTACAATGTATCTTTGAATATCTTCAAAAAGCTATCAAAATGCAAGGACCTTGACATCGAAATCTCAAAAGATGTGGCACATAAGAACACCAACAAACCCTGTTGTAGTTGGGACCCTCGGATCGATCAGAAAGGATCCCAGTAGACTCATTAAAGGGATTTCTGGTAGCCCATGTCTTAAAGAAATACAAAAAAAATTTTCTCACGAGTATAGCCCACACTTTACGAAGGGCTTTATCTATGTAAAATATGTGTGATTTTTTTTAAAGTTGCTCAGTGGAAAATGTCGTGATGCCATTTCTGACCTTAGGTCTCTGGTTGGGACCCGGAAATAAATGAGTACACACCAGATATCAAAAGAAACAAAAAAAACAAAAAACAAAACCCAACAATAATAATAATAATCACAAAACAGAATGTGTTTTCTTATTGGCATGACAATTTCTGCAGATTGTAATGTATCTTTGAAGGTTTTCAAAGAACTATAAAACGGTATCTTGAAGTGGAAATATGGCACATGAATGCATCAATAATTCCAGCTGTAGTTGGGTGCTTCGGTTAGATTGGAAAAGGTTCTGATAGACACATTTAAGGGATTCCTGCTAGCCCAACTCTTCAAGAAATACAAAAACATATGCTCACAATCATAGGTCACACTTTATGTAAAATGTTTATGTACTTGTAGTTTTTTTATATATATAAATGTGCAGTGGAAAATGTCATGATGCCACTTTAATACTTAGATCAGAATCTGGTACTAATTATAGGTTTATAAAAAATACTGTATTAATTATAGATTTCTACCCCTAACCTCATATTTCTTCTCAGATTAGAATCTGCTGCAGCACAAGTTGGGTTACGTATGAATTAAATTAAAACAGAAATCATGTCTCGTAATCAAACAGAGATTTAGAATATTCAAAACGTGACAATCTAAATTATCTAAATTAAGTCTGTCTCTCTCTCTCTCTCTCTCTCTCTCTATATATATATATATATATATATATATATATATTATATATATATATATATATATATATATATATATGTTGTGTATTTAGGCAGCTATCCCTCTTTTATACAAGTTTCATTAAAATGATTGACAAGGTACTGCAGATACAAGTTTCAGAAAATGTTTTAATGAAACATATATATATATATATATATATATATATATATATATATATATGCAAGTGGAATCTTCACACACACACACACACACACACACACACACACATATATATATATATATATATATATATATATATAAAACGAAACTGCTCTCTTTTATTCATCTGAGGGAACCCTTTTTGCCTTCCATCAAAATGGCTAATGCTAACCTCCAGGACAGTGACTCATTGCGTTTTCCCTGATTAATGTTTTCCGCTGACAGGAAATGGAAAGATTATATTGATCCCATTGATAGGCCTGATACAATGAAAGTTAGTTCACTGTGTCGTACTAGACAATTTTCTGCGCCAGAATTTATCTTGCATATTTATAAAACTACCATTTATTCATGCATTGAATATTGCTGACATAACTGATCTGGTGTTCCTGTTATATATCTCAAGATTTTTGAAAAATTAAAAAGAAGGGTCTGTAATGTCATTGGTCCTAACTTGGCAGTCTGACTTAAATCAATTTCCCACAGCTATAACATGGCTTTCTTCTGTCTTTTCTGTAAATACTTTCATGGTAATTGTTCTAATGAGCTTTCCTCCTTGGTAAGTTGACCAGATGAATTTAAAGGTATTACTAGATTGGCAACTAGGTCTCACCATTTTATTGTTCAACTAGCTAGATTTCAATTTTTACTGTTCAACTAGCTAGATAGGTAATATATATATATATATATATATATATATATATATATATATATATATATATAGAGAGAGAGAGAGAGAGAGAGAGAGAGAGAGAGCAATATTAGCTATTCCCTTATAAGGATACATTTGGCATTCATTGACTGACCAGCCAGCACTACTTTTGGTTGACATTTATAAAATCTTTTTCTTTTAAGACAATTTTTCAAGAAAATAGATTTCCCAAGTTCAGTAGCTGTTATTCCTCTTTCCACAATTGATAGAATAGCAAGTCTGACAGGTTTAATAAAAGTAAAACTGACAGTTGCCCTCCTGGCTTATAAATTTGAATGCCTCCAAAACAAAACTGCCTTCATTTAATCACTAGAGAATCTTTTCTATCTGACATCAGCATGACTGATGCTAACCTTCAGGAGAGCAATACTTTACACCTTCTTGGATTCACATTTTCACCTGGCATGACATGGAATGATTATATTGAATCTATTGCTAGGAAAGTTGGTTCACTGTGACATGTTAGACAATTTTTATTGTCAAAATCCAACTGGCACATTTTATTAATCTACCATTCTTTCATGCATTGAATATTGCTGCCGTATCTGATCTGGTGCTTCTGTTACACACCAGGCATTAAAAAAAAGAATACTGAGCTATTACGTGACATCAGTCCTTCTTTACGGCAGCAAATATTGGACGATTTCCTTAAAGATGAAGAAGAGACTCGAGGCGGCGGAGATGTGATTCTACAGAAGGATGCTAAGGATATCGTGGACCGAGCGTGGGAGCAACGATGAGGTCTTAGAGAGGATGCAAACAAGGAAGAGGCTTATACTTAACATTAGGAAGAGGTAGCTGAAGTTTCTGGGACAAATAATGAGGAAAGAGAGCCTGGAGAATCTGATACTCACGAGTCAAATACAGGAAAAGAGACACAAGGGAAAACATAACATACCTAGCGGGCCTAAGCAAGTGGTTGACAGAACGTGGTCTGGGAGAGGTGGCAGGGGGAAGGAACGTTGAGAGCTACAAGAGATAGAGGGGGGTGAAGAGCCATGATCACCTATGTCCTGAAAGGACATGGCACGTAAAAAGAAAGAAAGATCACAACTTCAGTCACTTTCCTGCTGTAATGTAGCCTCCTTGTGTCTTTTCTACATATATGTTAATGACAAGTGTTCTGAGCGAAATTCTTTATATGGTGACTAGACTTTATGAATTTAAGCGCAATATTAGATTGGCAGCAAATTTCTATTTTTTACAGTTGAAATCGTTAGATGCAACCGTAGGTTCTATACTAATAGTTTCTTCTCTCACACTTCTCACTTGTGGAACTCTCTTCACTTCTGGCTTCCCAGTCAACATTGATCTTTAGAATTTAAATGCAATGTCAATCGTTATCTTCTGTCTTCTTAATTATTGTTCTTTTATTAGTCTCTTTCTTTAATAATGTTTTCTCATATTCTCTCACACTTAGTATCCTCTTGCATCTTAGTGGCTTTACTACCTTGCTTAAATTGGAATGATTGAAATAATATATATATATATATATATATATATATATATATATATATATATATATATATATATATATATATATATATATATATATATATATAAGTCCAACAATTATTTTAAAATATTTTTTGTCTATACTTTATTTTTATAGATAAAATATTTTAGTAAATGCGCTCTTTATAATAAACAGTGTTAACAACATTTACCGGCCTGAATGTCCGAGAAATCTTAAATAAAATATGTGTTCTCAGACAAGCATCGAAGCTGTATCCTATATAGTTTGACGCATTATACCATTAAGCTACAGGAAGGTCATGAAGGTTTGTAGTTCAAAAAACAGTAATTTAACCTTTCTTAACCAGGCGCTTCATCTGTCGGTAAATGGTATAGCACATCAGGCTATATGGCGGTCCCGTGTAGGATACAGGTTCGATTCTTGTTGGAGGGCACATGTTTTATTTGAGATTTCTCGGACGTTCAGGCCGGTAAATGTTGTTAATATTGTTTATAGAGCATTTACTTAAATATTTTATCTATAAAAATTACGTATAAACATACATATATATGACAATTGGAAAAAAATCTTACATTTTGCCACAGATTGGCATCAAATGACAATTGGAAAAAAAAAACTTACATTTTGCCGACGCGTCTTGTCCACAGAATTCATCTGGGAATTTAACTATATATATATATATATATATATATATATATATATATATATATATATATATATATATACATATGTGTGTGTGTG